ATACTGCCCGGGTGACCAAACCGAGACAGGTGGTTTTCATAGGGGGTCACACCCCGAATCTTTGACCTAAAGGTCTGATCCATAAAGCAGTGGAGCAACGTCAGGAGATGCTGTTCCATGGTAGCCGGTGACCAATGATTGGTTTATACGACATTTGTTCCTTTAGAATACTGGAGCCCATGTGCACCATTGGTTTAGAATCGGGGTTTTTCAACTCCCCTATGTGAACTCTCCGTGTTCACTAACCCGGACATTCACTTTTCGTCCTCTCAATTTCGTAAACAAAAGTAATGTCACGAGAAAGCAGTGACTAGGACTTCCCTTGCAGTGCTTGTATGCACCTGGCCATGTGAGAGCATTTTCATGGTTAAAAATGATAATTAAAGAGGTCTAGAACAAAACATAATAGTAATTGTGGAATAACTCACTAATTAAAACACAATTTGTAGACCACCTCGTATATAATATATCAAATTATTTATATATTGCTTATTAGTATTTGTCACAGGAGTTTTGCGGAAAAATTAGTCAAACGTCAGAAAATCAATGCATTTCACATTCAGACTACAACTCCTAAATACAGGAAGGATTAATTAGACGGTTAAACTTGAATCGCTACACAGTAATAATCAAACAGAATAAAATACTAATGCTGGATAACAATCTCTTACTTACTTACTTACGCCTGTTACTCCCAATGGAGCATAGGCCGCTGACCAGCATTCTCCAACCATCTCTGTCCTGGGCCTTCTTTTCTAGTTCCTTCCAGTTCTTGTTCATTTTTCTCATGTCTATCTCCATTTCTCGGCGTAATGTGTTCTTTGGTCTTCCTCTTTTCCTTTGACCTTCAGGATCCCATGTGAGGGCTTGTCTTGTGACGCAGTTGGGTGCTTTCCTCAATGTGTGTCCTATCCACTTCCAGCGGCTCTTCCTGATTTCTTTCTCCGCTGGGATCTGGTTTGTTCTCTCCCACAGTACATTGTTGCTAATAGTGTCCGGCCAATGGATCTGAAGTATTTTGAGTAGACAATTGTTAATAAACACCTGTATTTTCTGGATGATGGCTTTTGTGGTTCTCCAGGTTTCTGCCCCATACAGTAGAAATGTCTTAACATTTGTATTGAAAATCCTGACCTTGGTGTTGGTTGACAGTTGCTTTGAGTTCCAGATGTTCTTCCGTTGTAAATATGCTGCTCTTGCTTTGCCGATCCGCGCCTTCACATCTGCATCAGATCCACCCTGTTCATCAATGATGCTGCCCAAATACGTAAAGGTTTTTACATCTTCCAAATCTTCTCCGTCAATTTTGATTGGATTGGTGTCCCACATTGTACGAACATTCCATGTACCTAAATAAATGGTCGCTCTGGTTGTCAGAAGGGGCATCGGCCTCGTAACTTCCGAAGGAATTCGGCTTTCATCATGAGGCGTCATAATTTTTCTAAATGAAGACCTTCTGACTCCCAGGGCAGAGTTTAAAAGGTTTGAATAATTTTTTCTGGTTAGCGTTTTTTTAGCGAGTTAGTTTTCTACGGGATGGGGACGCTAACCCCATGCCCAACCCTCCTCCTTTATCCGGGCTTGGGACCGGCAATAGCCCCCGGAGGAACTCCAGGCGGAGTTGGATAACAATCTCACCGGGTACGTAAATAGCTTTTCTAACACAGTTGTAATAACATATATAAGAAGAGGGTTAGCAATACAAATGATGGCTTGATCGATTAGTGCAGCTTGCTAATTGTTAAGTGAATTATTTATATAGTATTCCTTAAATGTATACTTGTGAGAGGCCTATGTCAATATGTAGTGAAAATAATATCACGTATAGACGTTCAGTATTCAAAAGTTATATAGATTGTCAGGAAAATAATTCTATTTACTGATCATTACCGATACCAGTTATATTTGTTCAATAAATATGTTGTTGGTGTTATTGATCCATATCAGGCACTAATATATTTTAGCTTAGTTAAGTTTTAGGTGTTTTCTCTTTAATATGCTTCAAGACCTCAGCTATAAAACATTTCAAATTAATGAGTCCTTAATTGGGTAATGGTGATTTATTTATCATTCAACTGGTTTATTTCAAGTTCAGACATGGTTTCAAATAATTCGGTTTGAACAACCCGAAAGTGTAACCATTCCTCCCACAAACGATATGTGTGAAATCCGAATGTATGCACTTGCACTTAGAAAATACATCATGTTCTACTTCTAAACTGGTAATCACTTGAAAAATTTTAGTTGAATTGAACGTATTTCTTATACTAAATTTATTGAAGAAGCAATAACATTATTCATATTTAAACCGCCGATTTTCAAGCAGTAAAAATTGCTAGACATTTCAGCTTAATGAATTGCTTAACATTACTCCTAAAAGGTAATCTATAATCACGCGACCTACATATAACGAACCAAAAAAAGTGAATTTGCTGCGGGCTGCTGACTTCTAACTCTATGAGTTATATTAAAAGGTTAGTTTATAATAACTAGGAAAAGTAAGAGTAAATAGATGATGTCGATCAGTTTAAACAAGCCTTTTAAATAGCACATAATTCCAGGTGACTAGTATTCGATATTATCACGACAATGACAATTCTGTGTATATATATACCATAAAAATCTTGGAAAATCTACATATTATAAATGGTAAATCGAAAAGCAAATTAGCTATCTAAACAAATAAATCAATTATCTCTTTATACACAAAGATTATTGATAGAAGTTAGGAATTACCGAAATGTGATGTAAAACTTCATCAAGGTGTATCGAAAAATAGATCAATTGTTTTAAGCTTTTTAGTAATACATTTATCAAGTTGACATCTGTATGAATAAACTGAATTATACATTTTGTAAAGGTGGATAAACAAACTAATTATGATGCTCAAGTTAAAATAAATTAAGTTGAATAAAAACTTACAACTCAACTGAACACTTTTGGCAGCCTGCTTGAATATTTGGGCTACCTGTTCCTACCATCTAGATATTTCAAGTTATCTGATTTTTATTTGTTTTAAAACATTATTATGTCTATTAATCGTATAACCTATTCAAGCGCGTTTATGAAATGTTTACGACCTTTAGCTGTACAAGTTTCGAAAAGCCCAATCAGAGATATTATGGTTGCTGGAAATATGCAGCGAAAAGGATGAACATTATTCAGATGTCGATTCCTGAATTGCTAATATCTAACTGGCGATCACTCAATATTTATCATCAGGACAGAGTAAGAAATAAGAAAAGGAAACTTGTTGAAATACTTTGTGCTAAGAATTCAATATTGTACCAAAAATATAATATTGAATGAAGTCATTAATAATAATAATAATCACTTAAACTACAGTACATTCATTAAGATTTTCGTTCGAAAAGAATGCCGAAAATAGTTTATTAATGTTGACATGAAATGAAAACATATACGCTGTATTAAAATTTAATTTAAAAATACTGCCAATGAACTATATATATTTGAAAATATGTAAGCTATCCTTTAATTAACTCATTATTACTGTTAAGGAGTATAAACAACAGAGGTTCACCGTCAGTAATAGTATAGTAATTCTATGACTCTAAAAATGATTATTGGACTGGTTCTGTTTACGTTTCAACCCTCCAAGTATTTCATTCTTCAAAATCAAACTGAAATGCAGTAATACCAGATTCTACTCTTCCTAAATTGTGCTTATCAGCCCAAAAAAATCCCACAACCGTAAAATTATATACACATTTACAATACTTGTTTAAAATTCATACTACTAAAAAACCATGTTAGTAGTGTGACTACCCAAATTACAGACAAGTTCACAATGGAATAACCTAAAAGTTACATATGACAAAAGCAGAACAAGGTTAATGATATTTTACTAAGCTAGGGGAGTAAAATTTTTTTACATCAAAGTGGTTGCTTGTAAGTAGGCGTTATATTAAACAACATTTTAAGTTGGGAAGACAATACAAAATTTTCAGGAGTATATCATTGAAATTTAACACTAGCAAAAAATATTAAATTACTATTTTCTAGGAATTAAATTTATTTACAATACGACAGATGGTTATATATATATATATATATATATATATATATATATATATCAACTTATTAAATATTAGCCAGTCGATTGCGATTCCGCATTATCTAGATACTCATCAACAAGGTGTATCCACCACTCTTGCAAGAAAAGTTTACTCCATAACAGATTTTAACCACGATTTCAGAGAAGTACTCCGGGAAATTAAAAATAAAACTATGCAAAAATGTGTGTAATATTATTTCTGTCTATCAAGTATTGGCCTTAAATTATGAATACACCTGTGAAATTTAGGTACAGAGACATTGACCTGGAACTTCGCTCCAAACACCACTTTAAAACTACAAGTTAATAGTTTTTAAAATAAATTATTTCAATAGGATGTCTACTGTCCATAAAAGAGCTAGATGCCAGTAATTTAGGGAACAGGTGTATAAGAGACAAAGATTGCACTCCATCAACTTAAAATCAGGGGACCAGATGTTACCGATAGTTGACATTCCTTACAGTCTCGTGGCATATCCAAGATGACATGTAATTAATCATTTACCAAGTATGGATCAATGTATCCGACTTTGAATCACTGTTCTTGAAAAGGAGGTTCAAACCTAAGAACTACTGATAAAAATCGAGAATCTTAACCATTAAGCCATCCCCACATTGTACGCTTAACAGAGTCTAATAAAATGTCATTGGTGAGTCTACAGTCAAGATATATTACAGTGTAAAGAAAAACGTATACTTCATACATAGCGAATTATCTGCAACAAAAAAACAAGGATACGTAGTAGAGAATACAGTAGTTTGAAGTACAAACACATCTAATTAAAACTGACACAATAACCTCGTAGGAACAATCAATGTTGGAATTGGTTTGTTTAAGTTTTAAGAGTCGACATAATTCAAATGTCCACAGAAATAAAGTGATTAGAAGTATAAATATGATCGAGTAATTAAAAAAAACCATTACCTCTTCCAAATTTATTGGTTGAGATGACGTCCTTTTTATTTGTCGTCTAAACTGACTAATTATTCTAAGTAATGCAATCATTGTTTGTATTTGTTCATTTGTTAAACGACCATTATATTTAGAGACTAAGTGATAATTTAGTTGTTCTAAAAATTGATTGGATTTTGTAAGTTCTCTAGAGTCCGATTCTCGCTCACTAGCAACAGTGCTACCACGAACAATACCAATATCCCCACGTTCTTTGTTTAACTCTTTAATATTTACAGAATTGAAAGACGGTACATTACTAGATTGGGAAAGTGATGATGAATGAGAAATATGTTCTAAATTCGATGAAAGACACGTAGGTTTTATGGAAGCATTGAAATCTGCTAATTTTCTCTGTAAATCCAAATCTAGTGAATGATGCTGATGTACAAGTAAATTTTCATCACCTAGCGTAAGAAAACAAAGACAAAACAGATTAGAAGATAGGCGACGATGGGTGATAAATAAAGAAACAAATCAATAGAGTTGATTTTCACCATAGATTTTTAATAAGGAGGAGAACTATTGACAAGCGAAGGGAATCGAACAGTTGTTTCATACTAATTTAATTTGAACGGTTTCCCCCAAACTTCCGGTTTTAATAATTATCATATCCGCGCTAGTAACCAACTAGGAGGCGAATTATAAACGTTTTAGTGATAAACCATGATCGGTGTAATTGAGTTATGTTTAAAGTTAGTAGGTTGTTAACAGTAACAGGTGATGTCAACTAATTTCAAAGCATGTGTTTAGTTCTAATATATGAGAAATAAACACTACTGAATGAGCTAGATTACATTTCATTTTTCTTATAGTCGCTATACTCAAATTATCATTATTGATGCTTCACTATTGTCTTTATGAGCTGATGGTTTGAGATACAAGCCTTTGTTAAACAGAATAGTACTTCCATCTGATATATAATAAATATACTTCAAAATCCAGTAAAACAGACCTATACGTAGAATTCTATTAGACTATAACACTAGATTAACATACACAGAACAGAAGAAAAAAGTATTATGACTTCATTAGTAATGTTGCAGGTGGACCTAAAGGTGAAGTCTTTTTCTGTGAAAGATGATGGAGGGGAGAGTCAAAGAATTCCAAAAAACCACAGGGGGCCCTGAAGACGCTAGGAAACATTTTGTCTAGTCAGTGTTGAATAAAAGTATCTTAGATGCATTTAAAAAGTGAAGAGTCACATGTCATATTTCTGATTGGATGATTATCTATCATCCTACTGTGTTTAATACGGCCCCAGAATCTTCCAAAAGCCCAAGATCATCTGGAATATCACAAATACCCTCGGTTTTTTGTACATAAACTAACCTTGGAGTAAAGTGTTCTTTTCATACTATGCGTTTTCCCCCCAATGTTGTCGTACAGATTTAGCCTGGGGTTATTAGAAGAGCTTAGGAAACCGATCCAAACGTTCAGTTAAGTTTATCAATCAGTGAATATCAAATTACTAATTAGAAATAATTAGAAAATGAGTTTGCAATATTAACAAAACGTATACCCTAAAGGCTGACAAACCATGAAGGGAAATTATGAACTAGGTGTCATAAAAACAAAGGATTTTTAGTGTCAGAAGAACATTAATTGTAATTATTCATCGAAATATGTGAAGTCATTGACGAACACTGGTGACAGTCAGTCAGTCAGCTACAACGTAGGACCAGGCACGTATATGTATCGGTCCAAGTTGCCATACCTCATTAACACAACAAGATGAACACCGGATTCATGAAAGTAGTTAATTCAGTTGTGGTAATATATAAAAGAAAGATTGCAATAAGGATATAGTACATGAATAAAGAATTAGTTCGTAGAAAGAAAGGTATGAAGCGATTTTAATCTCTCAGTTTAAGGGAAGACAGAGAGTATATACACCGACGCCATTGTGATCGATTCTGAGCCATGTCACCAAGAGTCTCCAACCATTGGTTACGAAAGTCACGCGGACCCCAACCAAGTAGTCTGCATCTACCAACATGGCTAAGACTAGAAGTTAGTGACTTCAAGCACTGATACCACGTTTTGGTTTGGCCGCCCCTAACTTTCTTCCAACTATCCCCTACACCGGTTAGCATTGCACGTCGTGGTAATCAGTGTTCAAGCATACGTAACACGTGGCCCAACCATCTCAGTCAATGAAGAGTAACAACCTCATCAACTGATTTACCATCATTCCCTAATACCCTGCGTCTAACTTCACTATTACTTACCCAGTGATCCCAGCAGACGCCAGCAATATTTCTAAGGCATCTGTGGTCAAATACAAGTAGCTTACGAGTGTCTTCTACTCTTAATGGCCATGTTTCGCTGCCGTAAATTAAAACAGAACGGACTGCCGCGCAGTATACTCGTCCTTTTATTGATAGACGGGTATCTCGCCTTCGCCACAGGTGACGTAAGTCGGCAAAAGCCAAGCGAGCTTTTCGGATCCGTGCTGAGATTTCGTCAGACACCAACCCATTAGGGCTGATCAGACTTCCAAGATAAATAAAGTTGTCAACGCGTTCGACTACTTCACTCCCTATCCTTAGTTCAGGTGTTGACGCAGACCAGTCCTGAAGCAACAACTTGCATTTAGAGGGAGAGAAACACTGGTTACAAGCTCTTATTCAATAGCTGTTAGCTGTTTCAAACGTTCTTCAGCTAACGTCAATTCTTGGTGGAATTCAATTAATTTCAAATTTATAGTTTATATGGTAGAGATTCCAATGGTTGATAAGAAGTTTTTAGTGTTAAAATCCTTGAATTATGAGAGAAATTTAGGAAATTTTCAAGGTTTTGTAAAAACCCTATGAAAGCAGCTGGAATGCTAAGCGTGGTTGACCTTGTGTGATAGATGATAGACACAATTAACGACAATCACATCTTTGTAAATAAACTATCCAGCTGAAAGGATGAAATATCAAAAAACACGTTCTATGTATTTCTGAATGAATTACTGTGGGTTTTTTACGCTTTTGTTGTTTCATAAAATTTAATTGTATTTTATGATTTTGAGGTGGTCGGTATTCAGTATAATTCTCTAACTTTGTACACTGCTCGTCCTGATAACCGCTACTAGATAACGCCCAACGGTGTATAAATCAGAAGACGAGTACGAAGCGTTGATTACGTTTATTATCGCATCGCACACAGATTACCCAAACCACAGGCACACGAAACAAGAATGGTATGCGAGTGCCGAAGAGCAAACGAGAAAGTGAGTGGGTCACTGAGCAAGTCAATGAACAGGATTAAAAGTTTCGAATATATACATAGAAAATGAATGCGTCATCGAATCGTTTAAGCGACTAACACTAAAGCTAACGGAATGAATATTTGCGTAAGCGGTAAGCAATGCTCAAACATGCATGTTCATACGAACGCAACACTAATAAAGGTACAATGGTATAGATAAGTTGTTGTTGTTGTACGAATGAATGTCTGTTAAATAAGTTAATAAAAGGGCTTAACCAAATCAAATGTGAACAAACTCAAATGTACATGAGCCGCTATAATTTCCTATTACAATACAATATAAATGTTGATGTTGAGAATGTTTAACACGATCAAAAACAAAAGTGGAATCGATGCACTGATTTACACATACAATTAAACATAACGCTTAGGATAAAATATTGATAATTATCGTGTGACATAATGCCTTTATTTAATACCTTAACGCTAATAATTTAACTTCTATTTTCAGTCTCACAATCGGTTCATGTGACTTGATCAAAACTATAAATCCACTGTATTTTTGTTTATTTCATCATGCTAATTTAAGAAAATAGTGTTTAAGATAACTGGGAGTAAAGTAAAAGATGTTCTTACATCAATGTAAAACTGCTGTATAATTGACATTTTACCTAAACTGATGATACGAATGAAAACCAAGATGTACCAAAACGCTATCAACTTCAATAGGCACTATACAAACCGAATTGACTAGATTAACTGTTAACTCAGTAAAACAATAACAATTTTATGATGTAGAGTTCAAAGATCCGACCAATAAAATTATGTATATTCGAAGAATAACAAACATAAATCTGATACTGGCCTTCCAAATGTTTCTTAAATCCTTATAAATATCCTACAAAGGGTCACGGACATAAGACAAAGGCTGGTAGTTCGAAAAGAAGCTTACTTCCACGATTAGCTCAGATACAGAAGTATTTTGTTTATTTTATTTACACAAGAATATTTCTAGGTTTACTCGTGGCTTTGGTATTCTTAGAGCATCTGCAGTCACGCTAAAATCAATAACAAAATTCGTAATTATCCAATTACGATATAATACATAGTTCATTGTTTTTCTAGAATGCACCGGAGAGCTTCTACTGAGAGCAGATCTAACGAAGTATTTTCAGACTTTTCCCAGCTTTTGAGGAGTTTTTCGAGGGACTTTGGAAGGTCACTAACAGCAATCACGTCAGTTTGTACTTTAAAAAGCCTTTACGCTGACTTGGCTTAAAAATGGTTTGGCGTGTCTTCAATCCAGTGCCAATCAGTGAACACTATAATTTAGAATTAAGTATGGTGTGACTTATTTGTCACACATGGTGTGTAAGGGCTAGCGATACTACATGGTTGTAAAAACCGAATTAAGTAAAGCTGAATTTAAACTAGCGAATTACTAGTTGCGATGCAAATGCTTTAACCAATAATCCACTTCACCATCACGTCAACAAGAAAAGAGAAACGTCAATTAAGCAATTAATTAGTATGTGATAAAATAATATGTGAAGTTTTACAGAACCATGTCGTGCATTGTTAGAATTACATATGGAATTTCGAAGGTTGGATTAGTAATTATGGTAACCAGCATCGAGTTATGAGAGGCCATCCGACAAAGTGTTGTGTTGGTGAAAAAAACATTAGACCTCAATACTCCAAAAGTTACTAGAAAGCAAGAGAATTTCATCAAGAAACATTCAAATATACTTTACTTGTATGGAAGTAAATCTGCCCGTTGTTGACAGTTAGTCTATTTTTGACATGTATGCATCTTGAGCAGAATGTTTCTCACATTGCTATTTATTCACAAGCGTTTTTAAACACAGTTTTATTAGAGATTAGTAGTGAAATCTAGGAAATGTGTTTTATCCCAAATAGGATTCCACACCTAGATACTATCCAAACCTTACTTAGAAAATTGAATGTTTTATATTGTAACCTGTATATATTTATCGGCAAGATGCTTCAACGTTTTTTTTTATTTTTAATATAAAACTAAACTATCCAGTTAGTACTGGAAAACTGTCACATGAAACGTAGTAGAATTGTAACCAAAGTTGATGAAAGAAATAGTCTATAAACTGAGGAATTAATGAAAAATCACTAGATCTCAATAATATAACAGTGAAACATTATTTTCTAAATATATATAGAAAATTTTTATAAAATTATACACATTTAAGCTCACATGTTTGTTATTGTTAAAAATGAGAATGATTTTTTTTGCGAAAACTAACAATCAATTGTGGGCTGCTTAAAATAAACTGAGTTTTATATTATAATCTTTATTTACACTCAACATATATGAAAAGTGAATTTGAATATGTCGATCATGTATTTCATTACTAATTATGTACATATGATCCCCTCTATTATATAATAACATAGTGGAATGTACATTAGGAGAATGAATATAAAAGTAGATAGACAGGTCAATTATAAGAATGTTGCATAAAAATTACCATAGAAAAAGAGAATCCACATGAATGAAAAGATATTGAAATAAAACAAAGAGATGTATGATGATGATAGTAATAGTAATAATAGTAGAGAAAGTGATAAAAACGATAGTGACAATATAGGATGATTTGTCTAATCCTATTGTTCATTAGTATTATAACTTCTCTATTTATGTTTTACAGAGGATGATCGTGAATTAATTCACTAGTTGGATACTTTTTTGGTCCTGTTATATAATTGGAAGTTAAAAGCAAAGAATATGTATTGACTAAAACCAGTTATACTCTTAATACTGTTACTAACCGGAATCATAGTTATTTGAAAACATATCTTTTCGAAGAAGGGAGTCGTAGATGGTCATTTTTGAAACGTTATTACTGTATTTATTGTCTCTGGATACTTTATGTCGGCCTCAGATCACAGATGAGGGATTATTTTGAAGCAGAAATAATTGTACTGCCATTTTGTTTAAAAAGTAATAGGCCACAGTGTTTGATATGAGCTTCTATTTTGAAAGTTGAAATCACATATTTAATCCTACTCCATGTTACGCATTTCTAGAATAAATTTATTTTACTTTTCCTCTCAAAGATCTCATTAGTTAGATCTTTTGTATAGGCCTTCCACTTTTATACTTGCAGGTGTACCGTGAAAACGTTAGCTTCCTATGTATGTGTTTACAGTGATCGCTTATTTACTTTCATGTTTCTCGAGAACTGAGTTCCGTTATCAGGATATTTGAAGATTATATCGTTTGAACACATTACCAACTTATTGTTCACTTATGTAGAAATGATTTTAATGTATAATTATCCAGTCTTCGTAGAGGTTGCTAATTTCCGATCATTTATGTATATACTGAAAAAAGTTCTTAATTTAGGATCAATTTGTTTTAAGAGGGGATGCCCTCATAGATTTGACTAGTAAAACAAATACACTGATAAGGTTCCTATCTATGAACTTGGACTCTGTTTAGATTCCATGGGCCACATCTATGGCATCATGTAAATAACAACAATCTTTCCTTGACAATATCAAGCCTATTTAAAACATCACAGATTTCATTGAGATCATTCTAATCTTGTTTCTTTACACTTGTATATCGGATACATCGCTCATGCGTAAAGTTTGGTGTTACCTATGAAAATGTCTAATAAATAAATACAGAAATATCTTTTATGACTCAAAGGCTTATACAGATCAATTAGATTTTACAATTTCAACACATTGTGTTTTCACCATTACTTATATAAAAATTCAGATACCAATCGACATCAGCAAGTACCCACAACGAGTTTTAGTATATCCTGCATTAACCGATTACCGCTCTGTTAAGGTGTTTCCGTTTGTTAATTTTCGATAGCACTAACCGAACTAGAAGAACAAGAGATTTTACGTCTCAAGCAAACTAAATCCTTACACGGCAAGATATTAAAAGTTAATTAAAATATATTCCTATTTTGGGAGACCACTGCTCAGTTGACCACCAACAGGACAAAGGAAACTCCGTTAAGTAATTTTAATACAAGTGTGTACAGAGTCGTCTCTAATTTAGGTTAGGTAAGATTACTATATTAAAACAAAAATGTCCATTTAAGTGAGGCTTTTAAAAGTTGAGAGTTTATTCATGTACAACAAAACTTTTCGTATTAGATTTTCATATTGTTTAGAGCAATAATGAAAACTTCTCAATTAAACCACTCAACTCAGAAAATGCAACATCATGACAAGTAGGAAACTGCGCTTGTCAGTGGTTTACATTAGGATAAATGATAATTAATAAATTTATTTAATGGTGTATTACAAGTTCAAAATGTATTCCACATATTTCAACTTTGGGAGCCAGGCAACAGTACAATTGGCTCCTATAAAAAAGGATGACTTACCTCGCACGTAGGTTAATAAATTTTATGATTACGTTACATATCAGAATAACAAGATGAGGAGGAATTTGTAAGTAGCAAATTGACATACCTAAATCCCACTCACTGAAAGAAGGTGAATCTGCACTATGCCAATGATCAACTATATGAGAGATTCCATGTTGACCTGAATCACTTCCTGAATGTTCTAAATTTTCATCGAAGTCTGATTTTGTAAAGGGATTTTGCGATGAACCAGGTAATTTGCCATCTGTTCTACAATGTCTGTTACTTAAAACACGACCACGACGACGATTAAGCAAGTAAGCTTTTAAGCGTTGTTTGACCTGGTATCAATACAACAAAACTTGGATGAAGCAAATGACTATTTGATAGAAATGTTGTTAACAAATTACTCCAGTTAAGGGTTTAAATTTAATAGGTACTGGAATAGGCTTCAGAGTTTATGGGAAGGTATTCCATAATATGATAAATACGATTAGCAAATAATAATGATAGTAGATCATTAAAAAATTAGTGACCCCATAATAATACTGTTAACATTTTTTGTCAGAGGTATAATTACGAACATTTCTTTTGGATGAATAACATCGACCTGAAGTTTTGAACTGTTAATAGTTCGGCAGTGTAAATATTTTGTCCTAACTCCTTATGAGCCTTTAAATCAGCATCTCTGCATGATTTTGAGAAACTTTTCAAAAGAGGATGATTGACTCGAGTTTACGAAGTTATTTGTAATTGGGTCCCATTTGATTCTAAGTTTATTTTTTCGCCATCCAAGCGGGATAGTGCTCATCAGTTTGTTTTGCGAGAGAGCACATGGTAAAGTCGAGTTAATCAAGAACAAATAAACTGATAGAAATAAATTAATCTGGTGTAATATCTTAGATTATTTTTTGTTACGTTTACAACAACAGAATATAATGTTGTGTAGAAGGCTCTATTCAGATATCTTGATAGCCTTTGAAGAAAAATATCATCGCCAGCATCTTCTTTGAATCCGAATTTCGTTGACGGAATTGTCCTCATGGCTAAATAAGCATGATCTGGAGTCATTTTACCTTGCAAATTTCGAACAACGAATATTGAAAAGTATTCTTTCCCCAAGAAGATTCTTTGAAGATTACCTAATTCGATAATTGATATCATGAACTGATCTAAATTAGACCACCATTAAAACTTGAAAGCAGTAGACGACCGTTTCGTTCTAGTATGAGACCCCTCATCAGTGTGTACCCACGACCCTGGACGAGGGAATTGAACCCAGAACTTTTGGTCTCGCGTGCGAACATCTAACTTCTAAACCATTAAGTCAATCAGTCAGTAACAACGTAGAACTTCGTACGTACGTACATCAGTTCGAGTCGCCACACCACATTAGCACAGAGATGAAATGGTCGATTCAAATCCCGTAGTGGTAGAGGTAATAAGAGTATAAGCAGTAATCGGGAAGATTAGGGTTTGGAGATGTTATTTAAAGAGTATAATCCAGTGAAAGAAATTTGGAAAGAGGAAAAAAGGGACATGAAGAATTCAGAAGATTAGAATTTGGGAGAACACATAGAGTGGATGCACCTGCGCCATCGCAAACGATTTTGATCCATGTCATTCAGGGTTTCTAACCATCGGTTGCTATCATCTCGCGGTCCCCAACCAGGTAGTCTACACCTACCAACATGACTCAGTCCACTTGTCAGTGACTTCATGGACTTGTGCCATGTTTTGGTCTGGCCGCCCCTACCTTTTTCCAACCTACTCCTATACCACTGAACATCGCACGTCAAGGCAGTCGGTCGTTCGGCATACGTAACACATGTCCCAGCCATCTCAACTGATGAAGTTTCACTACTTCATCAATTGATTTGCCATCCTTACCTAGTACCAGTTTCCTAACAACTGCGTTACTTACTCGATAGTCCCAGGATATACGAGCAATATTTCGAAGACACGTATGATCAAATACTAATAACCTACGAATATCCTCCACTCTTACCGGCCATGTTTCACTGCCATAAAGTAGGACGAAACGAACTGCTGCGCAGTAAACACGTCCTTTGGTTGATAGACGGATATCTCGCCTACGCCATAAATGACGCAAGTTGGCAAAAGCTAGTCGAGCCTTCTGTATCCGTGCTGAGATTTCGTCACACACCAGACCACAAGGGTTGATGAGACTTCTAAGATAAGTGAAGCGACCGACACGCTCAATTACTTCACTCCCTATCATTAGTTCGGGTGTCAATGCAACCCAATCCTGAAGCAATATTTTGCATTTTGAGGGAGAGAATCGCATCCCGAACATGCTTGCATTGTTGCTTAGAGTGATCGGAAGACTCTGCATTTTGTCAGCGTCTTCATCAAATAAAACTATGTCATCAGCATATTCTAAGTCAACAAGTGAACTTCCCGGTAGAAGTTCAACCCCTGGAAATTTAGACGAGGAAAGTGTTATCTGTAAAAGTACTTCGACGACAAAGTTGAACAAGAATGGAGAGAGTGGGCAGCCGTGACGAACACCACTCGAGGTAATCAATTCTGATGACAGTTCGCCACAAGCCCTCACTCGACCAGTTGTGTTCGAGTAGGGAGCCTTTACAAGATTAATGTACTTCTTTGGTATTCCTTTCAGTGACAAACACTGTCATAGAACCTTACGATCGACAGAGTCGAATGCTGCCTTAAGGTCGAGAAGTACTACGATTGTGGGGCGTCTGAACGTGTGTCTGTGTTCTAGAACCTGACGTAGTGTGAATATGTGGTCTATACAACCACGTCCAGGTCGACAACCAGCCTGATTTTCTCTAGTCTGCTCTTCACGAGTTTTAGTTAGGCGTCGAAGTATTATTGAAGCTAATATTTTAGATACTATATTTCTCAAACTGATTCCTCTGTGATTGTCACAAGAGGACTTTTATCCTTTCTTAAAAACTGGCACAATCAGTGATTGAGACCAGTCAGATGGGATTACGTCCAGTTCCCAAATTCTACCTAAGACCTCGGTTAATCTCATTGCTAATACTGGACCACCATCCTTAAAAATCTCAGGAGTAAACCTGTCAGGGCCTGCTGCTCTCCCTCGTTTCAGATTTCCTATGGCTTTTTCAACTTCGCAAAGGGACGGAGGACTTACATTAACTTGCCATTCAGGTTGACTGGAGATCGTGGGAAACCGAAGTGTGGCTGAAGGCCAGTTGAACTGATCCCTAAAGTGTTCTGCCCATCGATCCAATCTCCTGGATTGAGAATGTATAATATGTCCATCTTTCTCTGAGATTGTTTCGCTAACGGTCGGGTTCCTAATTCCGGTTTCCTTAACGAGTCTAAACAATTGTCTGCTATTACCTATTGCCGCTGCCTTTTCCATCTCTCTTGCTTTCGCTACCCACCACTGTTCACGATCATTGCGTAGACTTCTTGTCAGCTTGCGCTTAAGCTGACTCCGCTCTTCATTATGTTCAGAGCCAGGTGGAATGAGTTTCCGAGCATCCATCAGTGCGACAGATGCTGCTGAGATCCAGTGTTGCTCCCTAACCTTACGGTTTACCGTACTAGCAGATATAACTGCTTTTCGGATATCATTCCATGGTGCCTCGGGGTGGACATCACATACATGGGTGCCTGATTGTTTTTCTAGTTGTTCCTGAAATATACTCTTAGCTTGACTATCATTAAGTAGGGCCCTAAGAGGTTTACTTGCAGCGTCTTTCCTACGTCCAGTAAGACGCAGACAGATACGCGCTCGTACGAGAGCAAGATCTGAATTTAATCATGTGCTCCAGAATGAGCGATAGTCTTCTATCGAGCTCCTCCATCGGTGGCTGATAGCGATGTGACCTATTTGGGTCCAACGTTGGGACGAATTAGGGGGTTGCCATGTTAAAAGATGTTTTTCCTTATGCTTAAAGTTAGTATTTGCAAGGAACAGACGGTTATCTGAGCATAGCTGCAACAGACGGTCGCCATTATCTGTTCTTTGAGTCACGACACCATAAGATCCACCTAGGTGTCTTTCCCCATCGCTTAGTTTACCTACTTGAGCATTAAAGTCACCGGCCACTATTACTACATCCGAGCGCCTAGCTTTTCGGAGAAGGTCGGAAAGCTTTCTGTAAAACTCATCTTTTACATCATCTGAGCTGCAGTCAGTGGGAGAATAGGCAGAGACAACGAAGAGGCAACGAGGAGTGTCCCTATCTTTTCGGATCCTTACTGTTCCGTCCAGTCGGACCGCGCACAAACAACTGTCTACTGGGATCCACTCTAAGAGAGCTAGTTCTGCCCTAGGACTCAATGCTATACCTACGCCGGCGAGGCCACGGGAAGCAGAATCAGGGCTTCCAGATACACGAAGTGTGAATGGAGTCGGTTCTTTATTTTAGCATGGTGAGGTCAAGTGAATGACGCTACTCGGATCCTGCATGGGCGTTTCGGAGACGCAGCACACATCGATGGCGCGGGATTCTAAAGTCTTAGCTAAGGAAGCCTGCTGTCCTATTGGGCACAGAGTTCGGACGTTAAAAGCTCCTACATGTAGTTTAGAGCGTGGTTTCAGGAGACCAGGAATAGCGTTCCGCGTACACGAATCGTTTGTCCTAGCGGTGCGAGGTGATAAAGAGACGTGAGGAGGGTTAGTCATGGAGATAAGGGAGGTATTAGGAGGTGTAGGAAGGATTTGAATGTGACGAACTTGGTCTCGTGTGCTGTTATGGGTATGAGGGCTGGTGTCACTTCCAGGTTGCCTACACCGTGGAAGGGTATTTCTTGAGGAACCTGAAAAGGAAATTAGATTAGTGTTGATCCTAAAGACCTGGGAGCGTGACCGCAGAGCCCAAGGGACAACTACTTGAGGCCGGTCGCGCACGGCCTTTTCGTGCAAGGTTTTTAATGTGTTAGCTCCGTTCTTGAAAGGGCCTTACCGCCGGAGACGGAAATCCGTGAGGTAAGGTGAGGTGTGACATTTTTAGGGTCGACCTTTTCTAACCCCACCCCTCCTTGTGGGAAGGCAGCATCGTTGCAGATGCTGGTTGTCTGAGGGAAACACCTTACTGCTGTCACACCTCTCTACAGTCAGCAGTACGACTTCGCCCTCAGACCATTAAGTCGACATCCAACGGTGAATTCGATCAACAGGCAGCTGTAGTTTATGGTACAAAGTTATTCAAATCCTACTGCTAATTAAGCTGGGAAAACTTTCAGACGGTAGACCGACTTTGTATACACGTATCTTCCTCATAGAAAGTACAGCTGAATAAAATTAGAATACAATGACTGTGATAAGATGACTAGTAGAGTAAGACCTAAATGCGCATGAGTTTCTTGGCTCGATAAGGTTTGCATTGGTAAGATGGAAATTTTTTCTTTAAGGATATCAAGATCAAGTTTGGTAATTCTTTATTGTATACTTATACGCGATTACACATACAGATAATGAAACCATGGAGATATTGTAAATATACGAAACAATTAACCAATTATGCATTATGAATGACATTATATCCTCATCCTCGCATATTTTTCATATTTAAAATGCTGATTAGTTTGCAATATCGTTATTAAAACGATAAAACTTCAATCTTCTACATGTAGTAGGCGCTGGTGATATTACCCAGAACAGCAAAGAAAGATCCCCAATGAAATCATCTGGCTCAGAGAACAAAACACCACTAAAAACTTTAATCTGTTTTATTAAGGTGACAATTTCGAGCAACTGTATGCCTCAGCTATAAAGCTATGACGAAAACCGCTAAAACAACTAATGGTACTACATATCAAATTATTCTGTATACATGGAAAATGTTACAACCACTTTTAATAGGAAGATAACGTCATTAAATTACTGCTTTCATTACATCACAGATAGTTTTAAAATTTTAACCCTTGTTAGCTGAGAAATACCTTTCTATTTTGTTATTGTTTCGAATACATAAGCCAATAAATTTGGGATCAAGGAAAAACAAGATATACTTTCATAAAAAACCTGATTTTTGTTCAGGCGTAGTGAAAACCATGATTTAATCGTTGGTTATTTTGAGACAGCAGATGGACGGCTTTAGCACATTCTAGATAAAAGCTTCTAGTGGCACCGTATCGAAAAATGAAGCTGAGACTGGGACAGAGAAGTCAGTTACGTAACACTGAGATGAAGGATAGTTGTATGAAGTTAGTATTTCTTGGTTCATCGTAACTGCAGTTTCAGATTTGATTAAACATATTTCGACGTCAAAGTCAGTGATCACCGATCATCCGGATATATAAGATTTTAGCCGTATTGTTAAATCGCCCAGGATCGCGAACGGCAAACATTAGTGGAAGGTAAATATAAACAAAGATGATAGAACAGTGTTAAATGTGTAGATGATCACTATTTAAAGGAATAGACATCTATAAATCCGAGCATTGCTATTTGTCTTCAGTGGTAGTCATCTAACTTATCAGCGATTTCGCAACATTTAAAATTCATAATAAGTACTGAACTTAACTGTCACTTCACAGTTAACATTAAATAAATATTCGTCAGTTTTACTTATGTACAACCGCTTAGCCTTCAAAGATAAGTGATCCCATTTATCATGAAACGGCAGGTTAGTTAGCACCAAGCCATAGAAACATACTAGTAGCAATTTTAACAACTAGTTTTAGTTTTAAACTACTACTTATTATAAGCAAAGAACATGTCTATAAGTGATAAATATGCACTATCATTTCGCACATTGTGCGTTGCACTGGCAAGTCAAAAAGACCTTATGAAATCTATAATGCAATCATTTACTTAGATGATGCATTGTTATTTTCATCAGAACTATTAGAACGCAGTCCTGATAAAAATTATCTTCTGGTTGAATTACCAAAATTTGTCAAAAAGTTTTAAATCATATTTATGACTGCAACCATTGATCTCAGTAAAGTTTAAAACATTGTAGCTAAACTTGAGGGCTAATGATCTTACATTTTAAAATATTATTGCGAACTAAACAGCTAGAATACTAACCTGCGTTGAAGAAAGGCGACCTTCTCCTCCTTGATCAAAGGATACTTGACGTGACAGAAATGAGGAGCGAGAAGGGTTTGATGATATGCTTGCTGAATACTCTGGAGATGTTGGTAGTAGTTGGTGGTAAGAAGTACGTAGAGACAAACCATCTCCCGATCTGGTGGTTGTATATGTTTCGGTCGATGCACCTTTCGTAAATGGTGGATGAGTAATACGATGTCCTGTGCTGCTGGATAGTTCAACAAGAGAAGAAGTAGACTTCAGAGATCCAACCGTTCTATTGGGTCCTCTTTGATCCATTCACACATAAGAATGGTTGAATATCCTTAACAGATGGTTAAGTCTGGTAACTGGGTGAAGTTGCTGAAAAAGAAAAGTATGTAAACTAAGGTGTATCTTAAGAAAGTTAAACAAACTATCGTCTCAAACCCATCCAGAAAAATAAAATTGATGATATTATAGTGTGTATGCCAAACATTAAAATTAGAACCAAGGATATTTAAGAGTAAAAGTAACGAATGTTGTATAATGTTGCCCCATGTAGTTCCTTCAACAGAAACAGCACAAATAAATTTGGACTGTACAGATTAGTGCTGAAACAATAATATAGATAATGATTAGTAAATGAAGGTCTCCTATAGTAAGATCCTACTAGAAATATTTCTTTATGTTAGGAACCTAATCTAAAGATTAAATTAAAGGAAAACATATGTATGTATATTCAGGGGAAATTTGAAGAGGTTATGATATATTGATGACCTCAGGTAGTGTCAAGAATTCAGGCTGTTTTTTAACCAATATCTGAACAGGTCATCGAAATAAAGTATGTTGACAAAAACAGAATGAAGTAGCAATATATGTGGTCTACGAGTTTTCGCAAGGTTCATGATCACTTTGATTTGTCTTAAAACAGGCTACTTTAGCGACAAAAGGTCACTCATTCAAGAGACCAGTTATTATTCATGTCTTTTATTAAACCAAAAATACACTTAATAACGACTCCGCAGTTTCTACAATACTTGTGTTAAGACTTGCTGACACTAAAAAGATGGTGTCAGTAGATCACTGTCCGAGAACCACAAAAATAAAGATCTCAACACTACTAAGGAGTCGTCTTAAACAGGAGTGTGGCGCATATATATCTGGTGTCCCCTTGTACCAATATTAATGTGTTCAAATAAATAAATACTTAAACAGGGGTATGTTACTCAATGAATTAGTAATAACATCAACTGGTTGAAAGCAAACGAATTATCAATAAATTATTCTAGGTAGAATATATATCAGAAAACGTAAATTTATACCACATTATTCCTACTGAAAGGTAGAATGACAGACCTTTTCTTACTATTCATCTCTTAAGAAACAAAAATATCTTCTACAAAGCTTATCACGAAATAAATGCTAACTGGTGTTGCTTTTGGAATTATGGAATGCTTTTACCTTTAAAAAATGTTATAACTTAATCCATTAATAATTTTGCAAACAACTGACTTATACATTCAGAGAAGTAGGGAAATAAGGTTGGTTACAAATGATGAAGGATCCATTAAGTGAACAGTAAGCTATGTTAAAGATACGGTTACAGATAACAGAAATCTAAGGTAGACTAGCCACCACACCAAGTCTACAACTAAGCGTATGAAGCTGAAGCACGTATGTCGTAATATACACATAGGACAACATACATTTTGGCTTAATTTTCACTAAGAGGTATCAAATTGTTATGTACGGAATCCAATCGATCAATGACAATTTAGTCGTGAAATACTGGAAATTGCAGCTCTAAAGGAGAAGAGATATGGAACTCAGTGACTGTTATTCCTATTAGGAAGATATGAAGAGTAAAGTTAAACAAGAGTGAGCTAGTAATGAAAGTGTGAATTGTTTTAAGGTCATGGCACAGTAACACAGAATGTTGTTTACCAAACATAAAATGGATGACCACTAAGAAAAACATCTGAACTTATTTAAAACCAATTGATAGTTAAGAAAAACCATAGTTTGTGACTACAGTTCTGAAATGGGTATCTATGAAAACAGTGGCAATTCAGATGAAACGATATTTTGTTGTAATGATCGCTGGTCTAAGGAACCCCATTTTTGTCCATTCCATTTTAACACTCGGGTTATTAATGTTCCTATAGTCCAACCTTACCAACCAAACTACGACAAAGTATAAGCTTTATCCGTATCACGTGACTAATAAGAACCTACCAATTGAATGCACTAGGTGTAGGATCAAGCGCTTTCAATAGACAGAAGATAGAATGGAACTATAAACATTTAAACGATCGGTTACAGTCGATTGTATGGAGTATAGAAACGTATCTTTATACAACGATTACCATCAAAAAGTACGCGTAGGTAGCTTGATCAAAGAACTCAAGCTAATGTCCGTTTAACTTATTAGATTTTAAAACAAACCTTTAAATTCAAGTAACAAAATAAGTGGTCTGATGATTAGAAAAACTATAACATGCCTAGTTTTGAAGTGACACTTTTCAGTGAGCTAAATGGTCTTCAAATGTTTTTTTAATGAACTAACAAGTAGAACGTGAGAAACGGAATAAGTGATCTAGACAATACGCTTTCTTAACTCCTGGAGTTACGTCGAAAACGAAATATGCTTACAGTTAAAACTATCTGGCATCTATGAGTTACATACTGTTATATGAGGATGTGAAATTCAACACGGTATGCAAGTGAGGAATGAGTTCATGATAAACCAGTTCGTGATGAAAACTATAAATGTGATTCCCGAAAATAACCGTTAACTACAAATCGAAATTCATATTATTCACACAAGTTTATAACTCATTTAGCTCTAGCAACTAGGTAGACATTCTCAGGGCCACTTTAACGTCGCTTAAAGGTCATCTATAATTTATAGTCTCACCCCTCGAAATCATGTTTAGTCCGTGTTTTTCAAATATAGTATTCACCGTTTAAAAAAACAACTAACCAACAAATTAAGCTTTGTAACAATAAGTCGAGTTCCAAGTTTAAAATTACTTACTGTTTTTACGGTAACAATGAAGAGGAGCCCGAATTTCCTATATCTGGATCCTGAAAACTTCGGAGGTGGCGCTGGACATAAGGTCACAATTTCCAGCCTCACTTGTGCGGATAAACAAACTTGCTCTAACAACCAATATCTCGTTGAAAAGCCGGTACTGCTGTACTTGATTTAAACATATTGGCATTTCGGATCCGTTTAACGTTCCAGCACATTATTTTGGCTAACAACTTCTAAAATTACTTACGTCATCGATATAAGGTGAAATTTCGGCAGATGCTGGAAATGTTACTTGCGCAAGGTTACAACAGCCACATTCTTGGTACTGAAACTCATCGAATAGGATATCTCGATAAAATGAACAACACAGAACAGCTGATTATCTAAATGATAATTGAAGAAACGAAGCCGCGTCTCTCTGTATGCCAGAACAAACCATGTCCTAGTAAGATGTGCCGTCCGTTAGAAGCTGCAATGAGTGGTTCATCAGTCTATTATTCAGGTTCTTTCCCATGAATTTTGTTGTCCTGAAGTACGCGCGCTTTAAGAATGGGGAATACTATCCGAACGAGATTTGCATTTCACAAACTTTAGTTTGGTCTTGTGCAACAAAAGTACCATTTTTGATCCAAAGAATATGTTCCGATCCGGACGCTCATCAGATGCTTTTATTTTGCCTGACCTAACTATTCGAGTTTTACGGTTTTTCATGTCAAGAGGCTAGCTATAGTATATCCTAGGTTTCTATACTACGCATTTTTATCCGTTTTATCCATTTTGAATATATATATGTTTTTCTCCGCGCCCATAAACGTATGCTGGAACTTGTCTAACAACTTATATTTCACTAATGTTACTAAGGATGCTGTGTGCTCTGGTTTTCGGTTTTTAGTGTCAGCCACGAAATCGGTTTGAGCACTCAAATTCGAACTTTATGAAGGGCACCTCAAGTCACTGAACCTTTACCTATTAGAGTATCGGTGACCCAGATTTAACCTTCCAATGATTCAAGGCACCCTCAAATAATTAAGCTCAGTCTAACACTGTAAAATGGAATACTCAACATCACTGTGTTGGAAATACCTTTATTTTGGAAATTATTAACGACATTCTCACCTGTTAAGATGCCTAAAATGTTGCTTACTAAGTAGAGAAGCCAACAACAAATTGAATCTGAAAACTGTAAGGGGTGTAGATTATATCATTATATCATATCACTCCTGTGAAATGTTTATATATGGAACTACGTTACATGTATTGAACTACATGAGAAAATGCATCATACATATATCATAAGTTTTATGTTTTTCTTCTGCTTCCTGTACGATGGCAATCACTAACGGATTCGAAATTTACCAGTGATAAAGTTTGAGGATTTTAAGGTACCTACAGTGTTAATCCTAGTCATATTAGACTAATATTCACACCCTGCTAGAAAGTGAAATCGAAGTTTAGAAGTTCGTTAGTACTCTCTATTGCTTAATACGGGGAACAAATGGCAAGCGGTTTTGACTACTGTAAACTTGAAAACAATTCATCGATTTTTAGTGAAAGACAATGAATGTAATGTACACATCATGTGAGGAAGTAAACAATTACGAACTTATATTGAGATTCATTTGACCTAAAAATATTTTGTGCCGAGTTTTTCTCCGGTTTTTCTTCTATTGTCGTGCGCCCTATTAGCCTCTCTCTAAAAATGACTTACCTAGGCATATTGGTTTGAGTGATTTAGGAAGAGCTGCAGATTACGGAGTCCAGCTGCAGCAATCGGTAAGATGCTCAGGATTTATATATATATATATATAATATCTGTTCAGCTTTCATTGCTTCAAAGTTGCTGGGCATCACTACATGGACTTTCGTCACTTAGCAATACAGGTCGAGAGTACAGCAATTTTTATTAAAAATATATATTTATTGACAGTTCGCAGGTGTTGGTGATACTACTTTGAGATTCGGTTCGTTCAATATTTATTTGAATTTTGTTACCAGTGGTTGCCATTTAACAGATCATTCCTCAGAGAATTCAATCGATGTTCGTTGACTTGGAGTTGAAAACCAAGGAGAATATACATAAAAATCAATGGAATTCAGATAATCACAATCAGGGTTTAGCTAGAATCCAGTGAATCACCACAGACGATGATTGCAATAAAAGAATTCGTCTTTACCAAATCTGCAAATTTAAGTGCATGTGCCATTTCTTACCAGATAAGGTAAGTCATTCATTCGTTATTGTGTACGCTCACCTTAAACTTACAATGGAATGTTAAGCAAA